ATAGATAGATAGATAGATAGATAGATAGATAGATAGATAGATAGATATAACACAATGGTCACTTCTAAGTTATACATTGTACACTAACATTATATGATCCAGAAATTTGTCACTTGGCAAAAATCTTATAATTTGCTAACATTTCTTTAGCTTTTATACAAAACAATTATACAAAACAATTCTGACTAGAAGCTGATTTGTAGTTTATGTGAATAATATTAAGAACAATTTCTCAAATGATATTTTTTTAGCTCAAAAAAAAAACTAGCACAGCAGACCATTAGACATCAGTTATAATAGTATGAAATATGCTCATCACGTTAGTAGATAAAGCAACACTGTTATCTATCAACTTTACCAAATCAACATCTGTGTTTTCTCTGAATTGTGTTTATATTTTAAATCTAAGGTATGTATGTATATATTTATATTTAATATTTCTAAACTGTCCATCTTCTTCAAGAGGGACTGGATGGTAATATAATTGATAAATAAAACAATCTATAAATGTTAATATTAAATTAGAATTAAACTTTTTAAAATTATAGACTAATGGCAATTAAATATCAAAAGGGTACAAATTAATATTACCTATTATAAGATGGGGGGCAGTCATGGACCTAACCAGCCCCACATTCATGATCTTCTGTGCCCTCCCACACAAGGCCACAGATCCCTTTGTGGAAGGTCAAGAGATTGGGGGCTTTCCTCACTATAGAACATTCCACAATGTGGGGATAGCAACAGAGAAGGCTCCTCCAGTTAAAATTCTCTAACTGATGGGGTGTGAAATATACCTTATCTGTCTGATCAATTGGGAGGGTATGATGAGATGGAGTGAAGCCAATTCTGTAGATAACCTGTCCCTACATCATATACAGCTTTATAGGTAATAACCAACACCTTGAATTGGACCCAGAAATGAATCGGTACGAAGTGTAGTTCATGGAGCAAGGGTATTATATGTATCTTAGGAGGGGGGGCAGTATGGCTCATGCAGCCATACTCTGCACTAGCTGAAGTTTCTGGATACTTTTCATGGGTAGCTCCATGTACACCACATTGTTTAGTCAGGAGATGACCAGGGCATGAGCCTCCCTGTCCAGGAAAAGGCACAGCTGGCATACAATGCAAAGTCAGGCAAAGGGCCTCCTAGCCACAGCTGCCCCTTGCTCATCAAGCAAGAGCTGTGAATACAAGAACACTCCCAAGTTACATACCAGATCTGTCTGGCCTGGTGCAACCCCATCCAAAACCAAAGATGATAAACTTTTGGGTACAGAGGGACCCATCCACAGCTACTCTGTTTTACTGAGGTTCAGTAGTTCCCCCATCAGACCCCCTCAGCCCCATTCAGACGCCCACACACCACAAAAAGATGAAAGATGAAGATATTAGGTATCACTATTATATTGGTGATACCTCATCCTTATTAACATTGATTGGGACTGGCCTCAGAGGAAAAAAGTGAATCAGCACCAAACTATGCTATGGACAACCAGCTAAATATGAGCCAGCAGTGTGCAGCCGCCGCCAAAAAAGCTAATGCAATCCTAAATTGTATTAACAGAGGGATACAATCAAGATCAAGGGAAGTACTAATACCACTCTATAAAGCCTTAGTAAGACCACACCTAGGATACTACATCCAGTTTTGTTCACCACATTATAAAAAAAGATGTTGAGTCTCTAGAAAAAGTACAGAGAAGAGCAACCAGGATGATTAGGGGACTGGAGACTAAAACATAGGAAGAACCGTTACAGGAACTGGGCTTGGCTAGTCTAGTGAAGAAATGGACCAGGGGAGACATGATAGCAGTCTTCCAATATTTGAGGGGATACCACAGAGACGAAGGGGTCAAGCTATTTTCTAAAGCACCTGAAGGCCAGACAAGGAATAATGGATGGAAACTGAACAAGGAGAAATTTAACCTGGAAATAAGGAAAAACTTTCTGACAGTGAGAACAATCAACCAATGGAACAGCTTGCCCTCAGAAGTTGTGGGAGCGCCATCTCTTGAGACTTTCAAGAAGAGATTGGACTGCCATTTGTCAGAAATGGTGTAGGGTCTCCTGCTTGGGCAGGTGGTTGGACTAGATGATCTACAAGGTCCCTTCCAACTCTGATTATCTGTTATCTTTTAACCCTAACTCCTCAGGTGAGCCTAAAGGAATGCCATGATCAATTGTATAGAAAGCCACTGAAGGGTCAAAGAGAGCAAAGGTGGAAGCAAACATCGTTCTACTCCTGCCAGAGATCATTCATAAGGATGAAGTTTCAGTCCTATATCTAGGCCTGAAATCTGACTGAATAGGGTCATGATATTTCTTTCCTCCAGGATCTTCTAGAGTTGCCACACCACCATTTCTTGACCATTTTTTCTAAAAAGGGCAGGTGAGAGACTGGACAAAAATTATCTAACAAGGAAAGATCCAGTGATGATTTATTAAGTAGGAGCATACCAGCACCTCTTTAAAAGGAGCCTGGAACCACCCCCTCCAATAAAGATAAATTAACTAACACATGGACCCACCCACACGATACCAACTGGGTGGCCTTAAGATCCAAGAGAAGCAAAGATCTTATACTCAAGTGGTGATATTTGTATTCTGTAGAACCTATCACTTCCTCATGCCCAACAGAATCAAACCACTCCCAGATAACTGGATAAGTCAATTTCTCTGGGCATCTTCACAAGACTTCCACACTTGGAATTCAACTGTGAATGAATCCAAGCAATTTTATCTTCTAAATGTCTTGAAAATTCCTCTACGCAGCCCTGGAGATTGGTCTCCATGTCACCCTTCCCAAGGAAGGTCTGTGTGACCTGAAGAAGGGCTGCTGAGCAGCATTCTAAGGATGTAATCTGTAACTCGGCATAATCAACAGGGTCTCAGGTTTGGCAGTCAAATCACTTTTGAATGTTTCAAATTATATTTTGGTGAGATATACCAGTCTTTTCTAAAAGAAAGCAAATAATATATTGAGATAAAGTAAACAATTATATTTTAAATGATATTAATAGCATTATTTCAATGAGGTTTACTCGCATTTCAAAATGTAAGGATATTACAAATGACTTCATGTTAAACCAAATCTTCTTTCTGCCTGTTTAGCAGAATATGCTATTTTATGACTAACTTTTAAAGAGACAATAGCTCTTATGCCAAATCTGCATTTAAAGCTGTACTAGCTGTTTTACAAAAAGGAATTTATAAAGCTGTACTAGGGAAGAATAGGATTATGATATAGAAACAGAGCAATATAATTTGTTTAGAACCATTTATTTTTTCAGTGTACCTAGCTAATAAAGCTGTATACATATATATATATATAGAAAATCATGTTCAAAACAAGTGTTACTAATACACAGTGCAATTTGCAACATATCCATTAGAGGGAAATATTGTACTTACAGTTGGGGATGTTGCAGCAGACAACAGTGGCAGAATTCCTCCACAAGCAATAATAATATTGTCTACCATTTGAGAAATGAGGTGGATTGTATTATGTACAAAAATAATATTTTCATTACTATTGACAAAGTCCATAACTGATTTTGTGGAATGACTATTAAAAGAAAAGGAAAAAAAAGACTATAAGTAAAACTATAAAGGCAGTTGCGATTGGAAAGATCAAAATCACATAAATCAATCAAATTGGAAACCATTGAAAAACAATAAACAACACATATACATGTACCCATTAATAACATTTATCGTCTTTGTGATATCAAGTTACATACATACATACATACATACATACATACATACATACATACATACATGTCTCACAAGCTGATCAAAAACCATTTAGAGAAGGAACTGAGATATAAACTGCTGTTATCCAATCTAGATGAAGGACTGCTGCAATAATATGGATTGCAACTCAAATAGTTGGTAAAAATATATAGTAGCTAAAGCATGGAAGACCTAATCAAGAAAGCTTTAAACTAAAATGCTTTGGAAGTTGGAGACAAAATCCCTGAAGATCCTGTGCACTAAAGAACAATGTGGCAATGTTGCTGTAAAGGAATCCATGAAAGAAATTCTAAAAGAAATCAGAAAGAAAAACAGGCTTTCAAAATTCAAAACTGCCAGTTTTTCAAGGTAGGCTATATCAGGAAATAGATACAGCAAGAAATACCAGAATTCAATTTCATTGCTCTTACATATAACAAAATCTTAAAAGCCTGCAGTTCCCATCTGCCCCCACTTACATCTTGCAGAATAAACAAAGGTTTATTGTGACTCTCTTTCTCACATTCCTTTCCCAGGATTAAAGGAGTAAAATGACTAAAGGAAACCTGCTAATTTTGCAAGAACAGCCTTGGCCCGCTGACAGATATGAGTGGATAAGCATAAGGCAAAAAATTTCCCTTTCCTCTGATGAAAGTTGGAGAACAGCTCTATAGAAATTAGCAAAGCACAGAAAACACTGGACATAGTTCATATTTCTAGATGTCTGTTTTTGTATCATGATTGTAGATGTTCAGTAACCCAAACAGTCCAACTGGGAAGATCAAATCCATATTTTTCCAACTTAGAAAAAAGTCAGTGTTCAGAAAAGTCATTTCCGATATTACTTGTGCAAAGCAGAGCCTGAGTTTATCAGTATATAATTGTCGAAAACACCAACAAAATATTCACAAATCTGGAGAAGATTAAATTTGTTATACATATAAAAATCTGTTAAATATTCATAACTCTTTTTCATTCTGATCAAATTAGAGCACCTGCCAAATAGAATCTGGCAAATATGCATGCCTTCCTAAGTAGTTCACCAATTCTGAAGAGACATGGGGTAATTGATCTCTAATGGTCATAGGTTCAGAAGAGTGATAAAGGAAAGGATGGGTTACATGCAAATAGCACTACTGAAACTTTTGATATGGAAAAATATTGTGTCTTGCTCCCCATGGACAATACATACAATTTATGTCCAAGACTAGACATGAATAGAACCTGTGATGCAGAATGACAAAAAAATTCATATATTGATCTATTTTCAGCTGTAGAATTGTATATTGCAAAACAGCAGTAGCTCAAAACAATTGTTTGGCAATTGTTTCCACAAGCTTGGCTTTCTCTGATAACTCTGTGAGCAATTCATATGAATTTCATTGTTACACCAGAGTCTGAAGGAGTAGACAGCTGTATTTCTACACCAGAGAGTGTATAAAGAATAATAAACAGCACTTGCTTTTTGTCAGTATTGTGACTTCTTAATTGTCTGAAAGCTTCTGTGCCAAACTTATGGAAGTGGAGCCTAAGAAACTTCCTGAAGATTAAATTCTAGAGAACACTAGTTTGTTGTATGGCCTGCAGTTTCATGCTACAGCAATGTGTAACTGGCTCAGATGTCTGTACTTTAATCATGTACATCTTAGTTATATATTCTAAGCTTCTACAGTTGAAATACAAATTGAAATCACACATTCTTTTATCTCTGTTGAGAACAGGGACCTCTTCACTGCCTTCTTCAGAACTGGAGGCCAAGGAAGCCACAAGAAAGGGTGACTGAGTCAAAGAAAGGTTGTGAAAGCCACAGAGAAGGAGATTGAAATAAAGAGAGGATGTAAAATTATTTCCTCTACGTCTCAATTCCTTCAATTACCCTTCAATTAATAATATTATTATAAATAAAATAAAATATTATTTTATTTAAAACATTTATATAGCTACCCATCTTATAACCAACAACGTTGAAACAATTGATCTAAAGTTTTTGGTTTGTTTCAATTCATCAGCAAGTTTCCTGGTCAATCAGAGCAGCTTCATTCCTATCCACATCAATAACAAATAACTGAAAATCAACTACATATTCATGAATTCAGTTTAGGCTCACCTTGCGACTCTTCCAATTTGCTACTGATATCTTGGATAAGTTATCATAAGCAGCTATAAAACTTTACATGAGGATTACAATTATCAAATAGTAGAGAATTATCCTCAATGAGGGACACAATCTGTTTGGCAATCCTGTTTTTCGACAGATTAAGAACAAAGGTAATCTTAGAGAGGGCTCTGCGATGAATTCTCTTGGTCAACTCTCCATAAAAATTAACACTGAGTTCTGAAAGTCAGATACTGATCCTGAGCAACTCTTTATTTTCCATTTGTTCTCCATTAATTTCCATGAAAATGAAGCCACAGGTTATAGGACAGCTTTCTGGTTGAAGCAAGTCCCCCCACACACACAATTGCTATGTTAGTTGCAGCATGGCACTGTGCATTGCATGGTGCAAGTCCATGATGCGATTTCACTTACTGTTGGTTGGAACAATGTCTTGATAACTCGTTCTATAGAAAGTGGGATGCCCAAGGATCTGTTGTCATCTTCAAGTTCTAAAAGCAAGGTTTGATGCCTCTATGTTGAGAAATTTGTGAGGCTTACAAGATCAGTCCTTTCAGGTAGGCCAAACCAAGAAAAGGATTTCCAGGAATTCAACTTTATGGCTGTAGTATATGACAGAATTTTGAAAGCCAAGCTTCTCTCTCCCATTTTATATTAAACAAAATCAAGATGGGGTATTTTGATTTGAGTTTCATTCTCAAAATGCTTCAATCTCTGGACTGTTTAGGCTTGTTCCTTCCTTCCTTAAAAGTACTTTAATTCCTTTACCAGTGTAATCTCTAAATGCATTTTCAGCAATGCATAGATTGAAAACAAACATTCAAACTACAATCAAAAACATAAAAAGAGATGCTCAGCATGGAAACAGAAAACACTATAACAACAAACCAACATACACTTCAAAGCCTGGGGGGAAAGTCCTTAAAGGCTTTACAGATGACAACCAATACCTTATATTGCATCCAGAAGCCTACTATTAATCAGTACAGTTGATATACTATAGAACCCCTAACTACTTATAGCTTCCAGAAAACAATTCAAGACTTTCATGGCATCTCTAGTTAGGATTGTGATGGCAAAATGCAAGTGAATGCAGTTGATAACACCTCAGTCAATACAGTTCACATAAGTATTAAAAGCATGAGGATCAAGTCCTGCAATACCTGGAACTACCCTCATTCCATGGCAACCAACTGAACTGCCTGATTAGGTAGGAATGGAACCACTACAAAATATTCCCTCTGCCCTTGTTGGCTGCTCAGGATATTGTGATCAATGGCACTGAATGGTACACTCCTCCTAATTGGCTTCCAATGGAACTCATTTGCTATACAATGTTGTTTCCATCTCATGATAGGGCCTGAATCTAGATAATCAATTTCTTTAGGATCCTTATTTCCCACAATCCTCCCTTCAGAAAAAAGGTTGGAGTGTGGCAGAAATCTCGTGCAGCAGAATAGAGAGACTGGTTTTCAAGAAAGTGTGCAGCATATATTCTATTAAGGCAATTAGCATTAGCCATGCAGCAGAATCCAGCTGTTCTCATCATCCAAATGAGCCAGACTGGATATGAATCTAGTCTACAGGTGTCAAAGCAGGGGTGGGATTCTACCTGGTCGGACGGGTTGTTACAATTCTGTAACAGAACCAGTTGTTACAATTCTGTGCAGTTCGGAGAACTGGCAAACTGCGCCACTGGCTGGCCCCGCCCCGCCCCATCACTCCTTACCTGGCATGTGAGCCATCCAATTTGCCTCTGTTGTGTCTAATTTTGGAAAGTTGTTATTTTTCCTTTTTCCCCCCCATCAGCTGTTCCAACTATCAGGTATGCTGGGACATTTAGATTAGCTAGAAAGCAGGAAATTGTTGGATTTTTTGCTTTCTAGCTAAACTAAATCGCTATTGTACTGCTTTGCCTTCGCCCAGAAGGTTTCCCTGAGAAGCCCAGTCATGGGTGGTATTCAGGGGGTTGAGGGGGGGGAAGAAGTGGCCTGAGAGCAGAGCTGAACCTTCCTTTGGACTGAAGCTTCTATTCTTCAGTGCAGACTCAAGCAGTAGATTGCAGAAAGGTAGATCTCTGAGTGAATCTGTTATTCTGTGAGCAACTCAATCTACCTGTCTGCTTTGCCTGATTTTGTGTAAAAGTTGCTCTTTTTTATACAAAATTCAATATTTACATAAATATTTACAATATTTACATATAAGCCATGCCCAGCCAGGCATGTAACCAAGCCATGCCCAGTCAGCAAGCCATGACCACCCAGTCACATGACCACCAAGCCACACCCACAAATTAGGCCACACCCACAGAACTGGTTGTTGAGAAATTTGAATCCCATCCATGTCAAATCTTATTATCACAGAACAACCTATCCATTTTGTCAAGTTCCACAATTTCAAAAAAAAAATCATAGTTCCCTAGGTAAGACTTTGCCTCACTTTTATCATGTAGTTTTGCCCAACTGGTATCTAGATCTCAGCAAGTAGACTTAGAATGCTAAAAAGAAATCCATAAAGATATTAAAGAAACCTGTATGTGTTTTATCACACTCATTATTAGAAAATGAATGGTCTCTTACCTCCTCCAAACATGCACATCAGTTTCTAAAGCAAATAGTAGATCAGTCAGTAATCTTTGGTGCATGGGGGACCATTTAAATTCTGGAATACGGAACATTGTTGTTCGTGGACCTGGGCTGAATTGTCGCCTCTGTTCTTCTGTCATTGGCATTCCTCGAAATCCCAAGTCAACACGCAAGTCTCTATCTTGTTGTGTAATAGAACGACCTTGCACAGCCTACATAAGCAGTAAATATTTGTTTTCATTTAAAATATGCAAAGCAAAATCTGGCACAAAGTGCAATTCAAGTGTTACAGGGCAGAGATATTTAATTAAGCACATACAACAAAATTAGGAAGTCTTAAGGAAACTTTGTCCTACTTCCACATGTCTTGTTAGGTAACATTGTTTACATTTGCATGTTTTAATGCTACTCCATTTGAAAAAAAAGTACAAAAGAGTTATGAATAACAATATAACTAAAAATACCTATTTTGTTTCACCAGTAGAATAACTGACTCTTCTGTTGTTGATGACCAAAATACAAGACTAAACTACTATAGGTAGTTTTCACTTACCAAGCAACAAATGGGACCACCAACTCTGTCACTAAGAGGTGTGGTCATTAAGTGTGATGCCATGTGACCAAACTAATTTATGTCAGTTCTGGCTACAGTTGTTAAGCAAATAACTGCAAGTCATTAAGCCTGATGTCACGTGACCACAATTTACAACTTCCTCTAACTTCTCTGCTGGCTTTGCTTGTGGGAAGCCACCAAGTGCCAGTCACATGACTATGGGGTGCTGTAACTGTCAGAAATGCATTTGCATCATTTCTCAAGTGCCGCAATTGTAAACATATCAGTGCAAGGATGCTGCAATAGTCACAACTTTAATGAGTAGTCATAACTATTATTTTTAGCACCATTGTAAAATCAAACGTCAGAGGAGTTATTGAATCTGTCATCTGCACCTCTATAACTGTCTGGTTTGGTTCTACAACCCAACTAGACAGACACACACTCCAGAGAGTAATTAGGACCGCAGAAAAAAACAATTACTACCAACCTGCCTTCCATCGAGGACCTGTATCCTGCACAAGTCAAAAAGAGGGCTGTGAAAATATTTACAGACCCCTCACATCCCGGACATAAACTGTTTCAACTCCTACCCTCAAAACGCAATCAAATCATACTAGGAAACAGTCAATATAAATCGTAAGGATTCAAGTGACAAAGTTACAGTCATACAGTCACAAGTGAGAGGGGATGGGTGATAAGGAGTGATGAGAAGATCAGAACAAGCACAAGCACACCAGAACAACTAGATACAAGGACAGTTTTTTTCCCAAACGCCGTCATTTTGCTAAACAAATAATTCCCCCAACACTGTCCAACTATTTACAAAGTCTGCACTACTATTACCATTAATCTGCTCGTCACTCCTTATCGCCCATCCCGTCCCACTTGTGACTGTATGACTGTAACTTTGTCACTTGTATCCTTACGATTTATATTGACTGTTTCCTAGTATGATTTGATTGCTTATTGTTCCCTATGACTATCATTAAGTGTCGTACCTTATGATTCTTGACTCTTGATGAATGTATCTTTTCTTTTATGTACACTAAAAGCATTTGCACCAAGACAATTTTCCTGTGTGTCCAATCACACTTGGCCAATAAAGAATTCTATTCTATTCTAAAACACTGAATAAGTGCTTGGTGAGTGAAACCTGCTGGTATCTAGTAGCCTCACAGTTGAAAAGTTGCAACAATGTAGCATTATCTCCATTATTAAGTCCATCCCTGTAAAACAACATCATTTTTATTCTCAGTTGTACACATTTCTATATACTAAATCTCTTCATGAGATTATACATGATCAACTTGAATATTTTAGCTGTACTTTTACATCTCAAGGAAATTAAAGTTATTTATAAATCTATTGAAGCTAGAAATGTTTCCAGTACAAATCATTTTCCACTGGGTGGCATAAGACATGTTTGCCTTTTTCTTATTGGCATTTTATAATGATGCTTTTTAAAATCAGGCTTTTGCTACCTCCTTTAGTGATTTTTTTTTCAATTTCCTTTTAAATACAAAACTATCAACTCTGGCAAGTAGCTCCAGAAAATTGTATCTCTGGCTATTCATTTTTACACAATGTGGTTTGACAAAAGATGAAGTTTATTAGATTACTAATTGACATTCTGAATGCATATTCAAATACTAAAATCACTTAAATAGCCTTGTAGATGCAGCAATGATCTTTGCTATCGTGCATTAAAAATTTATTGAACTCATAGATTATTTATTTATTATTATTTAGTACTCTATTTTTGCTGCCAATAGTAAAATGAAAATTGCTCATATTTTGTAAAAATGCTTCATGGAAATCAAAGGTATTCTTTATTCCCTCTCATTTTTAAACTGCAATTGGATATTGATTTTTTTTTTCTTTTCTTAAATCATGAACAAATAAAATATAATGGGTGAGCTGCCAAAGCAGCTGCTAAATCTTTTTTTTTTCCTCTAAAGTTTCAAGGCTGCAATGGTCTTTGATTTAAAATCTAAGTTTTAAGTCTTATAAATAAAAAGTCCAGCATAGTTAAAATATGAATTTACTCAGAAATTTCAATTCAGTACCAATAATTATATACTTAAAACCTCTTACTATGTTTCTCTCAAATATGGGGGATAACCAGAAAGATTATTCTGGAAGAAAATAATCCTTTTTTTATAAGGAATGTTGGAGTCCGGGATTTGTTGTTTACAGAGAAACTCCAGGTAATGGAACAGCAGAAGAGACACCCTTTACTCCATGACTGCTGGAGGACAATGAAAAGAGCATCAGATTGAACATTTATTTGAGCCTCTACCTTACAGTGATAAGGATGGCCAAACATTCTTATTTTTTTCATCTTTATCACTAGCCATCTCTAGGGTAACACCGTCCTGGGGTTTGAAGAACAAAGGTTGCGGGGGGAGGCAAAACAAAACTGGAGGGACATGAGGGGAGAAATTAAACTGGACAGGGAAGAAGGGGGGAGGGAGAACACCTCTATTTAGGCATTTTAAAACTATTATATTCATTAAGCAAACAGCTCCATCCAAGCAATGGATCTTTAGATTAATCTTCAAAAGTATCCAGCTCTCTGGAGGGAAATCTGCAGTCATTTGAATATCCCACCTATTTCACATTTTCAACAGCATTCTTCAACAGCATTTCTTTAGTGGAATTCTAGATACCCCGCCATCACCATTCACAGGGAATAATGAGTTTTTAAAAAACCCTTATTTTCCGATATGATTAATAAGGTAAAAGAAAATATTTTTAAGCTGCTGTTTTTTCTTGCTAACCACAATTAATATTGTGTTATCAGATTTTTACAAGTACTGGAAGTAATTTAACAAAACATAAAAGCCTAACTTATCTAATTTTCATGTAGGAAACCTGCAGTTGTTGGGGGAGGGGGGACCCTGACAGGCAGCTCCAGTGGAAAAGAAATTTGCATTTTGCCAAATACAATGAGTTTTTAACACCTAATTTATTCAGTTCCCCAAAGTATTTGTACCAACATAATATATGCTTGAATTTCTGACTAGCTCTAAGCTAAAACCAATGCTTTTTAAGATAGATAACTGCCTTGGTAAAAACAGAAATGTAAGCATTTTTTACTAGATATATATTTGTAGATAGATAAGAGAAATTGCACCCAGGCTTAACTATTAAGTTAGGAAGAATGAAAAATTCCTACATATATATTTTAAGAGATATGATTGATAGAAGTCCTTCTACCTTACTTTGGAAATATGAGTCAACAATGGTAAAGAGTTGGCAGTCTAAGGAAAAACAGCATTGATTCTCTATTTCTGATTGTGACCTGAAACAAATATATTCAACCTGCCAATTCCAACCTCTCTCTGAAGAAATATTCGTTGGTTTGTTTTTCACATTTTTGAAGTGCTCATCTCCTCATGGAGGAATGCTGGTTGGTGTATAATAAAATGTTAAAATATAAGGACAGTATATAAAAATTAAAAAAATAGAAAATCTAGAATTTAAAAGTAGGCTTTTAAAATTACTTTAAAAAACAAAGGGAGGTCTCAGGGTTCCAACTAGCTCCATGGGGGTCTGTGATGAAGAAAATGTAAAGAACCACTGGTCTAGTGGTTAAGGTATCAGATTTAAACCAAGAGATTTATAGTGATAAAGCAACTTCTAAACTGTCCTAGAATATGAATTCTAACATCAGATTAAAAACCAAAACTGTGAATTCTAGTCCTGCTTAGACATGAAAGGCAGCTTGGTGACTCTGGGCCAGTCACAGTCTTTCAGCCCAACTCACCTCACATGGATTTTATTTAGGAAAACAGGAGGAGAAAGAAGGATTAGGTAAGTTTGCCACCCTGAGATTTTTAATAAAAAATAATAAAGACAGGATGAAAAATTAAAGTAGTCCTTAGGCAGCATTATGACAACTCAGCCTTAGGCATAAAAGATGGTTAGGTGACTTTGTGACAGTTACTGTCACTCAGCCAAACTCATCTCACAAGGTTGTCTTTGGAAGAACAACAGAGGAGGAAAGAGTATTAGGTTTGCTGGCTGCTTTGAGTTATTTATAAAAATAATAAAGGTAAAAAAAAATTTTTTTTTAAGTCCTTTTTCAGAGGATTAAATCAAAAGTTTCTATCAGATCAGTGTAGATGGCACTACAGAATTCCTGTTAGATAATTTTATGTTAGAGAAATTTAAGGTCAAATTATACAATAATACATTGATCAAATCTTGATTACTCAAGTCTAAAGCCAACTTGATACTCAACTAGCACTTTCTCTTGGATCATCCAATCTGCAGTTTCACATAAAGATTCAAGAATGACTGTTTATATGCCATTAAGCTGGTGTCAGCTTTTTAGTGCCACGAAGAGAAAACTTTTTTTCCAGAATGAACTGCCCTCAATCTGGCCCTTAAAATTTATATAAATTTAAGATAATTAATTGCAAATTAGCTGAGTTGTCTTTTTTAAAAAATGTTTGTTTTAAAAAGACCCCACTGTTTAGAAATCTATAAAGGCTGATCAACATGCCCAACACTGGCAATAATCACTCAGGACTTTATTTTAGAATTCTATAAGGATAGAGTCCATCCCAGTATTTATTTCATTAGTGCAGTAAATTTGATAGTGTCTAAGCTAGAGACGGGAGATCAGTCAGAGAAAGAATCCAAAACTACTGCTGTCATATGCAATTCTCTAGCTGCAACGCACAGTATCCCTAAAAATATGATCTATTTCTCTGGAGGGATTAAACTCCAATCCCAGATTTTGGAGCTGAAATGTCAACAAGGCACTAGAAAACAGTGGACTTTTCATCCATATTGATCACTTCAAATTCATCCATAGTTGATCATATCCACATCAATATTGGTTCCTTTATTTTTAGTATACTCATAGTTAGGTTTTGTTTTTTTTTAGCTCAGAATGTACAATATATTCTGAGAATTACATCTAGAGTTTCTACCGTACATGCATTAATTAAGCTTTGACCCAAATGAAAGAGTTGGAGAACTTAGTGGTAAATTTTTGACTAGAAGTGACACTGGACATTAAGAGTTCCTACATGTAGGAGTAAATGAGGTAGTACATACTTAGAATCACAAAGTGGGATATTTGGGGGTATATTAAAGAATTATCAGACTACTCACAATTGCTCCATTTTATTGGAGAGTTCTGAGCATGGGCAGACTCCTCCACTCTTCTACATACATGGTTCTTACTATATACTGTAGTGTTAAAAGTAAATCTTGCAATGAGTGAGAAATTATCACTATCAGGACAGAAACTACTTTAAAATCAGTTCAACTGTTGGGCAATTTAACAGAGCCTTCAGAAATAGCATACAAATAAAGTATCTAAATTGTGGGGAACAAACAATATTGTACCCTTTACTTATTATTCTGGAATATGTATTAAAGCAGAAAAACTGAATCATCCTGATGTCCCTGAAAGGGATGGAAATATAAACAGTATATTTATGTTTGAGAGAAGTAGTATAAGTAAAAGGGAGGATTTGGTGCCTTTGTAGAAATGTAGAATTTAAAGGGATCAGACCATAGCATCCCAAAGTATTAAAAATGTTACATTTAAAGCTATAAAGATAGAATTTGCATAGCTTTATTTATCATTCCGATATAATATTTCTGTGGGCATGTAATCTTAACCTTGATTAGTTCAGGGGTCTTTTTCATTCTGGGGGCCAAAATCCCAGTGAACAGTGAAGCTGCACGTGTCAATAAAAGATGCTTTGTTGTATTTATTTCCACTATGATTGTTTAAAGTGGGGATTTTCACAACAAACAAATATTAATCATGCTGTGCCCCTTCTTCCTCAGAAAGTTAGTGATCCTTCTGAATTGCCAAACAATGAGCTGTTTGTTTAAATCTGAAAGGTCAAATTAAAGTTCAGTTTAGCCAAACTCCATTCTTCAGTATTAATCTCTTTGTCCTTAAAATCACAGGGTCTACCATATTAAAATGCCAGCAAAGGGAATTATTTATGGGGCGTAGCAAGACAGATAAATCTGATCTTTTTTATGTTGATTTAAGCTGGGATTTGAGCTGGGACTAGAAATCAGAGTTTCTAGGACACCTCTTTAACCATTATACAAATTGCCCCCCCCCCTTTTTTTTTTTTTGCATTCAACAGATCTTTAGCTTCCAGTGTTTACAGAAGTCAAATAACCACTTCACTTAATGTAGAGGGGAATCAATAATAACATTGGTATTGATATTAATAGCTCATGTCACATTTTTCTGATCAAAGTTCATTTTAGTCACCACATTAGCCTTTTAAAGGCTATTGAATCACAGGATGATATTTTTGTAGGAAAGTATATATCATACTTTCTCTGCTGAAGCATTAAACTACAGCATTAAACTATCTACAGATCATCAGATTTATGAATGGTAGATTGTTTACAATACATTATTTTTAATAAAATGGGAATGAGAAATCTCAATAAACAGCATTATACCAAGAACATTACTCTATTAGCTGAAAAAGTAAAATCATCTGCAGGCTCTAGTAATGAAAGTCAAAGAGCTACTGGGATAAAAAAGAACAAAAAGTAAATATAGATAAATTAATGACAATAAATACAAAATTAACCTTAGAATTGATAAAGAAATATTGAAATGGTGGGTCGCTTCTGCCTTTTAGGATTGGATGTCAGGATTTAGGATGCCATGATGGAAGTAGATCAGAACATATTCAAAATTTTCACTTGAGGCACAAATATGGCAATTTGACCACAGTCAAATGTGAGCATATTTTGAACACATTATGCAGAGACTTTGCTCTCTTGTGAGAAGCCTAGCATTCTTGAAAAGTTAGAAGGAACGAGAAGAAAGACAACAACTAACAACCAGGTGGATGGGCTGAATTATCATGATTAACAGTTGCACTGTTGGAAGATCTGAAGGACGAGATTAAGGACAGATTGCCTTGGAAAAGATGTACTTCTGTGGTCACTAAGAGTAGACACAAATTGATGGCAGATAATCTATCCATGTAAAAAGTATGACAGAAATCAATACAAAAAACTACCAAATAAATCTCTATTGCATGTGCAAAATTCTGGGACTTTAAATTAGTGGTTTTGACTCATTGAATAGAAACTGGAAACAAACTAACATTGGGTCCCTTTTTTTAATCTGCAGGACCCATTGTGGGCAATTCTGCTTGGACAACCATTAATGATCTCATGCATCTGTTACCGGAAAACAGTGTTGACTCATTGGCCACAGATTTCTACCCCATTATTTAAATTGCACTCTATCAATTACATCTTCATACCAGTCTCCAAAGATCCAAGAAGTGTGAGAAGATAGTATGTTGTGATAAAAAACAAGAATTAGGATTACAAAATTCCAGACTGAAATCCACCCTCAGCCATAAAATTTCCATTGAATTACTTTATGCCCACTCTAGCTCATAGGGTTTTGTTCTGGAGAGAAGATTGAAGATGAAATGCTATGGATGCCCTTAAACATCAAGAAAAAGGGAGAAATTTTGAATCAATAAACTGTATATGGGAACATTCCAGCCAAGTAGAACAGCATCACTAAATTCTCTACACTCAAGGCAAAATTAAGATCCCAAAGAAACCTAACATAAAAATGGTCTTCAGTTAAAACAGAGGGCTGAACAGGGAAAATCTTCGTGTAAATGAAGTGTCAATGAAAAATCACAGATGCTCATCTTATATATCAATATCAATAAAATATTTTAGTAATTACAAATTGATAAGATTTGCTACATATACAAATGTAGGTATTGTAGGATGTATCCACTGCCCCAGAGATAGAGGATATAACACATGTGTTACCTACGTGTCAATTATATAAAGAGAGAGATCATTGTCATAGACCATACATTAGATGAATTTGTCATCTAATGAATATAAAGATTGCCATCCTTATATTATGTTGTTTTAATGTACAGTATATTCATGTATAGTCAGAATCCCAAAATTATATATATATGGCCCTTTATTTGAACAAAACAATACTGTGTGTTGGATTTGATTGGGATAAATTATAGGGGTGATATACAACTATGATTTGCATTTTCTTTTACTCATATCTTTTACTGTACTTTTTTACCATATGGTCTTATTATTATTCTGTATTTTATATTTGTATTCTGGTCTGGCCTAATGGCTAATCAAAAAAGTATTATTATATTTGTTTAATAATATAGTACATTTTATATATTTATGTATTAAAAAACTTACTTGGGTTGTGGTCGTTGTCTGTATTTTTCTTATTTCCTTCCCTACTTCTTTTCCATCATCAGATCTTTCGGTATCTGATATGATACTCCCTCCATCTACATTTGATACAGTTTTCCCAGAAGACTCAGTTTCAAGAGTTGTAGCTGCCATTTCAGTATATTCTAATCCTTTAGAGGATGAAGCCAAGTCTCTTTCAGATAGTGAATCAATTGCATCAACAGAAGTATGAATTTTAAATTCCTTGTCTTCTATTATGCTTGAACTACATGCTATATCAGTACTACTAGACATATGAGAAAGAAGCCCAAGGTCATTATTCACACCAAGATGAATTTGAGTCTCTTGAATATTGGCAATAGTAATGTGATTGCTAGACAATTCAGGGAGCAGCTTCTCTTCTTGACTAGATATTTTATCAAAGAGAAATGAGGTGCTGTTATGAGGAGGTTCATCTTTATCATCAGCAAGTGTAATTAAGGGACCGTTGTCCTTCTCTTCACTTTTCTTAATTATGCCAACACTCCCATGAACATTGTTCTGAAGTTTTTCAACTGCAGCACTATATACATTGTCTAATAAAGATTCTACTTCCACAAGGGTTCCATTTTCTCTGGTTACCAAAGTCTCTGGTGACAGATCCATATCATCCAACTTTACTTCTGTGGCTTCCACCTTTTCTGCTTTTATATCAACTAACAGATCGTGAACCTCTACATGTACACCACTCCCAGGTCTATCTGCATTTCCAAGCACATCATCACATACTTTTGTTGCAATGAGTAAATCTCTGGAATCTGTGCTGACTGGGTAGTCTGTTTCACTTTCTGGACTTTGGCTTTGCGAAAGATCTTCAATTTCACGAATCTCCATTGCACCTTTTGCTCCAGTTGTCTGAGATGAAAGGCCTGAGATAGTACTCACATTCCCTTTTTTCCCCTTCTTGATATTCTCCTCTTCCTGTCTTTGGTATTCCTCATACATTTTTGCTAGGTACTCCTTGTGAGCTTCATAGGTAACCTTAATGCAAATTATAAAGTCAGGAAAAAAAGTAATGCTAATTCAATGTCAGAAAAAAGCAAAACAGTAATTTAACCAAATTAATAATGTAATTGAAAAAAATAATAATTCAGAAACAATTATAACATGCCATTTTGCATGGTGACCACAAGATGGTACTACAATTTATCTATAACATAATATTAACCAAATATGGGATTCTTACCTTTGAATGGGCTATGGAAAGTGTATCAACCCAGACCCTCCATCCTCCCCATTCGTATTTTATTGCATGATATAAAAGAATACGAAAGATGTTATACACCATCTCAGTAATTTTTTGTTCTTCAGAGTTCTTAGGATTAATATATCCCAAAGAAAACATCCAATCTTGCCATACTGAACACTGAAGTAAGCACCTAAAATAAAATAGTTACACTGAGATTCCATGGCACTTGAACTTTTTAAATATACATACAGATAAGAAAAACAGAGGCTTCCATACTAAATGTTAATTTAAAAAAATGGTTTGTGAAAATAAACCTGATTTGTAATAATAAGTAAACAATATACATTCATTACACCTTCACAAATAGAAGAAAACAATGTTTAAAATTGTAAGTGTTAAAATTATAACCTCCAGTAATGGGATCAGGATTCAGAATACTAGAAAAGAAACATCATTTAACTTAACAGCAATTATGTAGGCTATCTATTTTTGACTTTGTTTTTCACATCAAGAAAACAGAAAGTTACATTAAGAAAAATTATTCAGGAATAAATAAAAAAGTGTGAGGAAGGACTATTTAGTAAAAATCTGTGCCCAAATGGGCAATATGGGCATATAATAACATACTTAGAAGTGATATCTATGAAATGGTAGATCAAAAATATATATTTTATGAGTATTCCAAATCAAACACATCCAGATGATGCAAAGGTTAGGAAGGTAGCTGTAGGCACTGGCATCAAAAACACTACTCATAAATATCATGTATGTTGGGCCCCAGGCAGCCTTGGGAAGGGGACCCCTGACTACTTTACCTTATGATGAAAAACAGAAACAAAAAGATGAAAATTATTCCCCTCCCAATGTAAACGAACATGTAAGGATAATCATCCAAAACCTTTCCTTATTTCATAGTGTTTGCATAAGAACAACTACATAACTGAATGAGATAATTCTTTACATACCTTCTATTTTCACGGCTATTACTGAAAAGCTTGATCATATCTGATAAAAATAAACGCCGAACCTCCATGAGTTCTGCACTTGGTGCAGAATTCTTTAATAATGTGGCCACCACTTTCAGGATCACTTTAAAAGAGCAAATATATAATGTGCTTATATTTATTTTAATCACTGAAACACTACAAACATGGCGTTATCTATTGTAATTGTATTAACAGTGATTTTTAAATTATTAAAAAAACAGACCTTCTTTAAAGGAACAGAGTAGAAAAAGTTAAAGTATATCAAGTATACCGGTAATTATTTTATTTCCAATTGACTAGGCAACAAACAATATCACAATAATTAAAATCAGAAAAGCACAGAAATGGTTATAAATTATGCATATAGGCAACTGAAAAAAATTATAATAAATACACAAAAATTAACAGTGCAACCAGGTAATAGGGCCCCCTAATACATTCAGGACCTCAGGCTTGGGCACGTAGCCAATCTTTAAATAGTAAATGGTTAAAGGCTTGTGAAAGGCTAATAGGGTCAGGCCATCCTGAGCTACAAAGAATGTTCCAAAGGGAAGGGAATACTGCCAAGAAGGCAACTTCCTGCTCTCCATCCAACATCTCTTGGCTGATGGGACCCGTAGCATCCCCAATCAGCTAGACCAAACTAGATGGAGAGAAACTATTAGGAGAAGATGGTCTCTTGGGTAACCTGGTCCAAAGCTATGTAGGGTTTTCAATATGACAACCAACATCTTGAATTGCACTTGGAAACACATGGCAACCAATGCAGCTCCCTTAGTTATGGTGTTACATGTGACATATAACTAGCATCATAAACTACCCATGCAGCTGTTTTTGCACCAATTAATCTTTCTGAAAGTTCTTCAAGGGCAGCCTCATGTGGAGCATGTTGCGGTGATCCTAACAATTGGTAACAAGAGCATGAGTTTACTGTAAGCAAAGCCTCCCTGGTCTAGGAATGGGCACAAATGGCACACAAACTCTCCTAGCAATGCTGCTACCTGTTCTTCAAGCAGATTATGTGAACCCAAGTGGATCCCCACACTGCACAGTGCGGAAGTGCTTCCCCATCCAGTACCAAAGATGGAAGAACTGTGTTCCCAGATGGACAAAACACTCAAAGCCACTCCATCTTGTTTGGATTGACTGGTCCTTCCAGATCCATATAACCTCCAGAACCTTCTTTACTTTGACTTATATCAATCATAGTTCAAAGTTCTCAAACCTCTTGAAAAAGTTTACATGAGGTGAAGAGATACAAAAAACAAATCAAACAAAAGAGAAATCCTCAGCTAAAAGTGCACATCTACAATATACAAGCTTCCTGCTTTCGCCAAAATAAGAAAAACAGTGTTATGGTAGCTCTGCTTCTTTTGTATATAGGTTGTAATGCAGTGGTGGGATTCAATTTTTTTTACTATTAGTTCTGTGGGTGTGGCTTGGTGAGCGTGGCAGGGGAAGGATACTGTAAAATTTCCAGTCAGAGGCGATATTTGCCAGTTTCTGAACTACTCAAAATTTCTGCTACCAGTTCTCCAGAACTGGTCAGAACCTGCTGAATACCACCTCTGTTGTAATGTCACAACACACATAGCAAAGAAGCAGGGCTTTCTTTGTGACACTCTTCTTCTTTCTGCTCCCCCTTGCCCTCTCTCCACCCATGATTACCAATACAGAATAGTGTCCATCTTACATTTTATCAACAGCAATTCTGGACAAAAAAAAAATACTTTGTAGTATGATAGAACCTGTGAATTGCCAGTACTGTGATATTCACTTGAGCAGTAAAAAAATTGAAATTTATTACAAACATCTCTCAAAATTAAAAAGATAAATTCTTACTTGGATTTTGAATTTTCACGGTAGAATCTGGTTCTGGATGTGGTTTATGAACAACTTGTGTGCAGACTTGTTCAGTCAAGATCTATAACAGAAAAATCATTCCATTCACTCCACTCTTGGGTTTTCCAACAGAAATTATTGAAATAGATACTGTCTTCAGTACCGCATGTCATATACTGATAGTCTTATTCATTGTGTCATATTTAAATTAAGGTTAAATCCATTAATTATATTTCTAGTCCTTATTTTTGTCCCATTTTGTTTCCCCAGTAAACGATGCATGCATATATAAATTGCATAAATAGGTATTTTAACATATTTTCCTCCCAACTCATGCAATTCTTAACTTTTGATTATTATTCCAAATTATGCCCCATTTTTGTTAGCCATACAAAAAAATATTCTCTCAGGACATACATTTTAAAATAGATTCTAAAACATAACCATATTTCAAATACTTATACCCATTTAGCAGGTACAAACTGAATTGTTCTAGCATCAGCTGCTATTATGAACTTAAGAAAGAAGTAGTGCAACCCTTCTGTTTTGGCCTTGGAAAAACCATTCTGAGTGTTCTAGAAATGATCTGAATTGGGCCAGGATAAGCTCAGAATAAGCTGTTTCAAATGTGCCAGAACTGATTCAAACTAGCCAATTCTAAGGTTGGTCCACTTCCACAATACTCAGAATGGCTCCAAAACCGAGATACCTACGTTGCTACTTTCAGGATCGAAACCTTCAAATAGCATGCTAGTCATTATATTTATAAAACAAAATCACAGAATAATAAATAGATAAGGAACAGTCTGTTACTTTAAAAATGTTACACATAGAAAATAACCATAGAGAAAAGGTTTTATTCATGCCACAATGTAATATTAATGTAAATTAATGATTAATAGAAATAAACAAATATTTTTATGGTGATTATCTAACAGATTGAATCTACTAATTAATGAAAAAACATTTTAAAATAATATTTTCACAAAAGGTATTTCAATAAAAAGATTAATATAATATACCTCATACAGTGTGTTGTAAGTTGTAATCGTCAAAGTATTGGTATGTAACATCAACCTCTCTCCAAGAAGAGTAAACAGACTATGTGTATGCATGATTTCAACTTTTCGCCTGAAGTACAAAAGTATGGAATGTATGAAAATTTAAACAAATTTCAATGACAAAAGATAACAATTAATATTATGAAGAATCTTTCAATCTTGTGAGATTCCAATTACACATAATACAGTATATTTTATGTATATATTTTTAATATATATACTGAAATGAAATATCTGTTTTTTCATAACTACGTAGACAAATTATTTAAGAATCTGACTATTTCTCTACACAATTTTAGTACATACTCTATTAAATCAGAGCTATTGAAATATTTTGAATCAAAAAATTGTTATCACATCTTTAGAAAATAAATAAAATAAATAGGTCTCATTAAATAATCAATCAATTCAGTTTTTATTAATTAACCTTTTAACCTTTCTCACTGATACAGAGACTCCTGGTGGTTTACAATTTAATAAAAAGGTTTTGAAAAGATAATACAAAACAATTAAGAAAATTAAGTAGAAATATAAAAAAATAAAAGGATGGGCAACGTGGGGATGAGGATCTTGTCTTTACCCCAGGGGTATCAAACTGGTGGCCTGCAGGCCAGATGCGTCATATGCCGGCCACGCCCACTCCAGCTCCATGAAGGGAAAACATGATATGTCACGTGACATCAAAGTGACGTGGCGAATTTGACACCTGTGCTCTACCCCGTTAACCTAACTAAGTAACAAATTACTAACTAAAAAGAAATAAATATTCTAGTCTGGAGAAAAACCTAGGTATAGTTTAATAATGCTCATTGAAAGCAATGGGACAAATTAATTTTCAATGGATAACTCAGAGTATGAACAAATTTAACTCCAGTTTTCTGCTTTCTTTTTAATAAGAAAAAAGGAAAAAATAAAAAGGCAATTATGTAACTAAACAAGTAAGAAGGTTTGAAACATCATATTAGGAACTGGAACACATTACTTACTTATGGCCCAGATGTTTGAGAAAGTATCCTAGCACTTTTAGAGCCTGAACCCAAATACTTTCACTTTTTGAAGCCAATAATTTATAGATTACCCTGAAGGGAAGAAATATAAGACAGTGTAAGCAAAACTCCTTAAAACAGTAAAACAAAATCAAGTTATTCTGCTTGTTCTGCTCATATTCAAAGTGTTGCTTTTGAGTACTTATGCTTTAAATTTGCAGAATATCTGCATCTCTGTCTGATAATCCCAAGACATTTAATATTTACATGGAATTATCAAGTGAAATAATTGGAGGCTAAATTATTATCCAACTAATAATGGATGCAACTATTTCCCTTTTTATATGAACCAGATGACATAGTAGTAGACTTCATTCAATAAGATCTAGTTAGTTTAACATCTATCTAAATACTATTTTGTGTAGCAAGTTTGTGATGTATATCATATTCAATTCATTACAAAAAGAAAATCCAGAGTAATTGGGAGTAAATTTAATACTCTGTTGTTTTTGTTATGTTATGATTTTTAAAAAAATTTAAAATACATAGGCAAGTATGTTAAATGTTCTGATCATGCAATGTTTTGAAAAAGTTTGACTTTGCAACTTATGTCATAAACAAAATAAAGTAATAGAAAACGAGGCATTGTTTTTGTTTAAATACCAACCTCTCTTTCAATTTTGAATTGTATTTTCAATGTATTATAGCAACATTAAATGCCAACATCCCCTCCCTTGTTCATAAGCATACTGTCATTGTACAATTTATTCACCTACCAGAAAAATGAGAGTTATAGAATTATTGTTTCTACTTAATCTTACCGTATTCCGTTTCTTTGATCAAAGGCAGGTATCATAGATGCTGGATGTTCAGACATTAAAGCCACAAGCAACTGAAGCACATCATGAATATTTTCATCCTACGTAACACATTATAATGTTAGAGAAATATTTATTTTATGAATTTTTAATATTTCATTATGCGTAAGGATTTATATTCAGATCCTCAACTTGAAAGATCCCAGAGTATCAATATCATATATTACTAGCTTACCTCATGCATAGTTAGTAAATAATTCAATATACTTTGTAGTTCATCTTCTTTTACTCCCCGATCCTACAGAAATTGATTTAATAAACCATTAAATTTTACATTTAAAAATTTTCAATGTTTACATTTTAATAACTTAAACTGTCATATTATAAACATTAAAATGAAGTTTTTTACCAGTGAATCTGGGATGCATATGTCTGAGCCACTTCTAAATGCGGGTAGTCTTTGACTTACCACAACTGGGACTGAACTTTGTCACCAAGCAATAAGGTCATTAAGCAAGTCATTACATGACCAGGCCCAATTTTATGTCAGTTTTTACTATGGTTAATTGGATTACACTGTCAATATGTGAATCTGGCTTCCCCAATTGACTGAGAAAGGTGGCTGAGAAAGTTGCAAATCATAATCACGTGACTGCAAGATAATGCAACTGTTGTAAACGCAAGATGGTAGCCAAGTGCCTGAATTATAATCACTGACTAAGGTGGTGTTGATTTTAAGAATGTTAACAAAAATATAATTAAAGTGAATAAACGACTTGAATAATAATATCAGACCCTAAGATATACAACTCCTATTTAATAGCAAAATGAAGCTTCTAGGTTTTTAATAAAAATTATACTAGGCATGCCTTGTGAGGATTGTGAGGGTCTGATATTATTATTCAAGTCATTTATTCACTTTAATTATATTTTTCTTAACATTCTTAAAATCAACACCACCTTAGTCATTGATTATAATTCAGGCACTTGGCTACCATCTTGCATTTACAACAGTTGCATTATCTTGCAGTCACGTGATTATGATTTGCAACTTTCTCAGCCACCTTTCTCAGTCAATTGGGGAATATAAACTGTAATGAGAAAAGTTATGGGGAAAAGAGGGGGAGGAAGTAAGAAACAGGTGCATGAAATAAAGAAATATGGAAATAGTAAAACGTTTTCACACATAATGGTTGATGAATTAAAAAGGGGATTCTGCAGGGTGACAAGGGGTAATAAGAATATTTCTACAACTAAAAATATTTAGAAAATAGGATAATATAGATACTGATAACTTTTATTAAAAATTAAGAGGGGGAAATATGCTGCAGAATCCAAATGAAAAGATGTAATGATTATTATTGTAACTTCTTAAAAATAATGGTTTATTGGGAATCAAGATAAGGGAATAATGTCACACTCAAAGCAGTAAAAGGGGGAAACCTATACTTGTTTTTTTTTTTTCTTTAGTGTTAAAATTTGTATTAATCTAGAATTTATAAAAAGAATGTGTAATGGAAAGGAAATATGACAGACTAAAGAACCAACAAAATTAATAAGTTAATATAGACTATTAAAAGCAAGGAGAGACATTGGTTTTATTAAAAGCAAGGAGAGACATTGGTTTTATCTTTTTTATTATTATCATTATTATAATTAGGCAAACATGTATTGTTTATTTTTAAAATAAATATTAAAGGATTATATTTTAAATAATTGAAATGAAACAAAAAAATGTTTCGATTGAGATTAATGAAAGAGGCTAGAATTAATGTGTTTCTCTCCTTACTGAAAATTTGGAATGGAAAAGGTAATAATAGAATTAACTATGCATATATGAATGTATAATTGCTGTCATATTTGTATGTAAAGGTGATGATCTGGAAATATGCTGTCCACTAAAAAGAGATTTTTGTTCTTAATGTGAAAAACTGAATAAAATTTGTTTAAAAAAAGGAAATTAAACTTAAAAATTGCACAATATAAAGCTATACAAAAAAGCAGGGCCATTTCACTGCATGACTGCTTCAAATCACTTTCTGTGAATTTCAGTTGATCAGACATTTCACCAAAACAAAACATACATTCAGCATGTCTCTTTTTAGTGGGAACTGGATTTGTAAATACATCCTCTTGCAAGAATGAATATATCACTTCACTTTTTGAAGAATGATTTCAAATAGTTTGCATAAGAAAATACGAATGGAACAAGAGGCCAAGAAGATACAGAAAATTCTAAATGGAATAATGAATAATATCGAGTTAAGATTCATATTCTCAGAAAAAAACAGCAGCAAATGCTCCCATGTGCCAGCTGCTATGGCAGGTCAAGAATACCTAAATGAGAAAAACAAGCTCTCATTTGAGCATGCATTGTAGAAAGCATGCAGTTCACACCAATTTGTTGAGTTTTAGATTCCTGAACAGGGATCAAAGAACAAATTGATACCTATGATTTATAGAGAGCACAAAAAACAACCCAGATCTGATTTCCTTATTTCAGAACTGGCAATACCCATTAATCTTTAAATCTTAAATTACCTTCAAAATAAGCTGCTTCAAAAATAGAAGCATGAATGCGCGCAGAGATATGATTTCCTTCTGGGATGGACGAGGACCTTCTGAAATAAATGAAAAAGAGTTGCATGATTTCATCTTAGGCAGCACACAAACAAACAAACAAACAAACTTTATAGTAGTTAAATATTGCAGTGGTTCATTTATTATTTTAAAGCACTTGTTTCATTTCATATTTATCAATTGCAGAGGACTCTAAATTAAATTGTAATGATAGAAAAAAACGTGTGTAACAGAACAAGATCTTGGTTTATTAGAAGAAAATCCAATTGAATTCAACAGAATTTACTATCAGGTAGAAACTTTATTTATTTAAAGTGCCCCACAATTAATTTAAAATAGGACATCAGCTTGAAATAGACTTGTTATACAGCAATGACACATTTATTTTGAATGCATGCATTTTATAAGCATTCATATGCAAACAATACATTTTTTTCTTATACTTACCCAAACCTTTTGGAGTAATTCCACTGCTGTCTGCAGGATTAACCACCCAGTAGTAATATTTTAGTGTGTGCATTAGTTGTAATACTGTTCCTACTCTACGTATCGTATTGTAGATAGTAGCAGTACCAATGAATTCAGCAGACAAGTAAGTATATAGTGATAACTGAACCTAAAGAACATCATGAAAACATGTATTAATTTAGCCACATTTTAATTATAGATTTGATGATAAACAAATAATCAACGTAAACAAAACAATTAAAGGTTGTTAATATTCATGACATAAACATGGTAGGCCAGTATGAAATAATAAACTAGATTACAATAAAATGAAAATTTTAAAAAGTGATAAATGATGGAAAAGTGCTATACAAGAACTGAAAACAAAGTATACTGTACAGTATGAATAGAACAATGTATTTGAAGAACATTTTATCCAGAAAACTTTGTTACCAGGTGTTTCAATAAACATGTATATTCAGTGTCACATGAAGTCGGACTGAAGCCAACTTTATATTAGCCATAGAGATTCCATGTAAAAGAAAAATAAGACCAACTTCCAGTAATAGAAGGGACCAAAAGCTAAGATGCTCCAACTAATCTAAACACTTGAGTTAGGTGAGGTAGAAAAAATAATCTAGTTTTTACATTTTCAAGTTTACTTTCTGATTGTTGCTTCCAAGCAATTTCATTTTTGCCAGCATATATAATAATAAACTTCCACAATCCCTCACTTTTATTAATAATTCATTTATTAAACATAAATCCTTCTACTACTACTTCTACTATAATTACTGTATTAATAAACACAGTTAATTATAAAACAAGAAAAAATTACAAGATGCAAATAAAGCATTAAAATATATTAGTTTTTATTAATTTAAAAATACAAATTTATTTTTGCTACTACTAATACTGCAGTAAAATGTATGGTTCACTGACCTTTGCAGGAGTATGAATCCAAATAGCAGGATTAAAAAGGATATGGTCGCATAATTGCTTTAATAGAGGTGCTCCATGAGAGAGCCCATCAAGGTATTTTGCAAAAGACAGAAACTGTTCCAGTACAGCTCTCGTTATATGAACTCTGGATGACTGGAAAAATTGATGTTATCAGTAGATATTCCAATATGAATATTATGTTCAAGACAAGAAAACTGAGAAACGATTGTTTTTATGAAACAGTTGGTGTACAGCTGATAAATCAACTGCTGGATGTGTATAAATTGAAATATATTTTTAACTATTGAAGAAATTAGAAGAGAAGAGAAGAGAAGAGAAGAGAAGAGAAGAGAAGAGAAGAGAAGAGAAGAGAAGAGAAGAGAAGAGAAGTCTTTATTGGCCAAGTGTGATTGGACACACAAGGAATTTGTCTTGGTATAAATATTCTCAGTGTACATAAAATAAAAGATACATTCATCAAGAGTCAAGAATCACAGGGTACAACACTTAGGGTACAATAAGCAATCAAATTAGGGGAAATATTCAGAACAATTCTTTCAACTTGTCAATAATAGTCATGTGATAGGCAAGTCTTAGAATGAGGCCTTCCATAGGGATGCACGAAGGAAACCTTTGTGGATTTTCTTTCTCTGCAGCTCCTGATCAGATCAGGCACACTCTTAAACTTGATCTGTTTTTCTGTGGTTTCTCTGCCCAGACACAACATTTATTCCTAGTTTGATCAATTCTGGGGAAGTTATCCCGAGATGAATAGAGACAAAGACGGAGATTCCCAATTCTCCTTTCCACAATTTCTCTAAGATTGGAAAGAATACTTATAGCTATGGCCTAATGTTAAAGCTAATTTACAGAAAGTCCTTGATTTACAACCAGGCTTGGAACCAGAATTTTAGTCATAAGTCATGGCAGTAATAAGTCAAGGCACCCAAGTGATTGGACCTGATTTTTTTTATTGTTTTTATGGAATTTTTAAAGCAAACCAGTTATTAAGCAAAACAAGAAGGGACACTTTTGCTGGAAAAAAATGGTTATGTAAAAGTGGCTAAGACACAAGGTTAGAAACTACAGAATCAGATATTTCAATATACATGTACATTCACTGTCACATGAAATCAGAGTGAAGCCAAAACTCTTGAAAGAATTTATGTTCCAGGGAGGGGAGATATTATTGCAAGCTAGCATAATGTTCAAATAAATAAATAAGTCAAATAAATTATATCAAAATATTCAGATATGTTTACAATATTACTTTTTCACTTACTTTTTCAAGAAGATAACCAATCACAAGGAATCCTTTTCCACCCAGCATTTGTTCTTGCATGGCTACTGAACTCTTAAGGAGCTCCACCAAGAAAGCCAAAAGTGTAGCACTGCACATAAAATACAGATACCAATTAGATATAAACTATTGTACATTTGATATTATGGCTTTTTAAAACTTCATAATATTTAAATGAGAATAAAAATGTACTTTGTATATAAAGATTTAAGCTTATTAATTAACCTTATAGATAATTAAAAGTAAGAATTGATAAGTATGTCATATTTTAGGATAGCAAAGCAAAGTTTATAAATTTAACTCCCAAATCATTTCAAGATTATAAGCAGTGTTATTGATATATAAGAATGTACATACATAATGCAAAATTATGTTGTTTTACAGCAGTAATTCTTGGATTAATTCTTTGTATAGTGAAGATTCAACATAAGAATCAATGTACAATATGTCATTCCATCAAATATACAATAACAAACCAAGTGCAATTCTTACAAGTTGGATATGGAAGAAAGATTGAATGTAGATCTTCCATACAGAATCACCATCCAAGTTTTCTAAGATTTCACATGAGTTCACTCAACGTATGGTTTGTGTTGCTTTTCCAATGTCAGATTAGGCTAAAAATACTTGGCCATAACTTTGCCATCAATTCTATATTAATTCCAACTTGGAAAGCACAGATGAAAATGGGTGTTGTTTTGTGAGCTATATTTTTATGTGATTTATAGTTGTGATTTAGATTTATAAATTACATAAAAATCTGGAACTCAACAAACTCTAGTGGAAAGTGAAGGAGATGCATGCAAATTCCATACAAAACTAACTTAAATATTAAAAGCCCCTGATTTCATAGCTTGTTTTAAAAATGTAATATGGAGTGAAATTTTCAGCTATAAGGGGTAAATAGTTATCTGAAAACAATTTAATATTAGCTGGAATAAAAAGATAAAAGAAACAGAATATGAAAACAATGTAACTGTAAAGCATACCTACATTGAAAAAAGTAAGTATATATTTACACACAAAAAATAAAGTGCTTTATTTAGTAAATATATTAATAAAATGGCCCTTCTAAATTAGGCCCCTGTCTTTTTCATCTATTCTGATGAGGAAAACCCAGCTTACCATGAAACTTGTTGATCAACCTTTTAGGGCAGAGGTGTCCAACTGACAATCCACAGGCCAGATGTGTCACCTGCAGGTCACACCCATCCCAGCCCCCAGTGAAACGTTATATGATGGCGATGTGATGCTATGAGTTTGACACCCGTGTTTTAGAGCCACAAGACAGCATTGCTTAACCAGCTGCCACCTTGATGTCTATCTCACCATACAAATGGCCTTGAATATGATCAGAAAAGCAATCCCATACATGATTACTCAGAAATCCATTAATTTCTAGTGGGCCTGCTTAACTGTATGATATTGTTGTTAAAGTAATAAATAAGCATTTACCAGGGGTGGGATTCTACTGTTTCGGATTGTTTCAGGTGAACTGATAGTTCTGATGAGAATTTGGCCCGCCCATCCACCCCTGCTCTTTTCTATGTTTTATTTCATTGTTTTAGAGCATAGCTGATTCACGTGGCAGAACAGTTTGCCGCACGTCAGCTATTTTATTCACAGGGACTGCAGTAAAAGGTAAGTAATAGAGATGAAAATTGGCTTTTTAAAATGTGGAACACGCGTGTGTGTGTGCTCACCGAACCAGTTGTTACATCGGTTGAATCACACCACTGGCATTTAGCCTTGTTTATCCAAAGACATTTTAAAAAATCTATTCAATTTTGTTTTGAGGGTGGGTAGGTTAAAGATTATCTATAATTAACCCTACCTGTAATTAAAGTGATTTTAATAATTTATTTTTATAGCTTTAAGATTTTTTATAAGTCATCTTATATGTTGTTGGCCAAAGATTAGATACAATAAGCTAAATAAAGTAAAGATTTTCTTGGAACATTTTGAAGAAAGTGTAAATTTAAATCATTCTCTATTATATGATTCAAATTTTCAAGTGAGCTGTCTTTGATTACCTAAAAAAGAACTCTGTGCACTCTAATTCCATCTGTCTGTATTTTCAATTGAAAATAACAAGCCGAGGCTACGCATAGCATGTTAATGATAATAAATGAGATTTACATATAATTTACATGCTCTAAATATATTGACAGAAATAATTCAATTTTCATAGCCAAATTGAATTCTCAAAAAGCTCATAAACAAACAGTAATGTATTGAACAAATATATGACTCATTGTAATTCTAAATTTTATACATTATAATATGAGGAACTATGCCAAAAGTAAATTATTTTGTTGATCCAGTGACTTAACTAGATAACCCCCCCCCAAAAAAAGGGGGGGAATACAGTGCCGATTTCCAGATCTTCCCCCATCGTTTTAAAAAGGTAAATGACTTTTAATAATAACAGAATAAATGACTTATGACTAATTCTGTTTTCCAGAATATGTTAATATTATTTTCTTGGCAACACTGTCTTATTCTGGATTGGGTTGTTTTCAAATAAAGTTCTATAATTAGATGATTTAGAGATTCATTGCACAAGTAAAAAGGTGATTTTGCCACTAAACAGTTAAATGTATTCCTGCCAACACCTGCTTTATTAGCAAGATCAGTTTTGTAGCTAATGCTGCTGGATACAAAATATCACTGCTTATATTTTTTGAGATCCACCCTTGCTGTTTTATTTTATTTTATTTTTTGGTTGTTTATTTAAAAATTAATTAAGTAAATAGCACACATTCAGTGTCATCACAGCACAGTAAAGGTCTAGATCACATACTGTTCTCAACCATCTCTAGCAAAGTCTTTGGGCTATATAAAACAGGATAATTAAACTAGTTTGTCTAATCAAGTCTAAAAATAAACAACATCTGATGTCCCTATTAATTTTTTAAATAAATCTTTTCAAATCACAGGAACCATAGAAAAAGTAATGTATTTATTTACTACATTTCTCCCACACGAGTGTACCTAAATATACTTTCAGTTTTATACTTTTATGAAGCATACAAAAGCATAAAGAACTGAGACCTAATGAAGAAAGCTAATTTAATTTTCATAAAATTAAATCATATATTCTAAATATAACTATTTTAGTATGATTCAATAATTCAATAATAAGAATTTATCAATCTGATTAATCAATTTACCTTTATATTACACGACTAAGTAGCCTAGAAATATAACATAACGATAGTGATTGATGGATCTGTCATAGTGTTAAGAGTCTTTCTCAGACTCTTTTTAAAGGTCATAATTACATTTTATGGATAATAAAAATGACTGAAGAAAGATTAAACATTTTTGATATTCCTTTCTGCATTTTCTTCAACTCTTTCCTCTGTCAACAATAAAGTCAAAATACAGTTCTGTACACATCTAATTATCTTCTGAAACCCATCATAATAAAACAAATAGCTAGAGGTCTAAAACATTTTTAAAAAACACTTAATGAAATAGAATCCATTCATCTTCAAATCCTTTTTAAATAGTAATAGTCAGGACAGAGTACTTACTTTACAACAATAATTTATGAAAACACCTTTTCTCTGTACAGAAAAACAAACACTGTAGATACCCAAATGACTGTTACATAAAAAGGAATTATAGAACAATAAAATCACAATGCCTTTTATGGAAAAAACATAATTAGGAACCTTGGTGAAATCACTTCTAAAATAATTCACACCTCCATTCTACCAAATTAAAGTACCACAGGATGTTCATATAAGATAACATGGTCTGAAATTTACCAACACAACTTTGTCACAATTGGCCATTTTAGTTGTAGCTTAAAACCAGCAGCTATGTTCCTTTGCTATTTTGACTTAAATAACATGTTCTCATGTTTGGTGTGCATACTGTTTGGTTATTTGTGCCAGCAAGTATGCTTTAGTAAACCAGAAATTCCATGTATGATTTGTTTAACATTATGAGATGAATCTTCTTCTTTTTTTCCTAACCCCACTCCCCAAATCTGAAAATATAATCTATCATTGGCATTGAATTCCTATCTTCATTATATAAGATAGGATTTTTAAACTAAACAAACATTAGATTGTTCATCCACACCCACTGGCAGGATGACTATCATTGCACAGCAGTAGACTTCCTAATTATTGCATGTTGCAAATGAAGCCAAGGTTAGCTTTCTATGTTGCTGCTAAAAAGTTAGCTTTCAACATCAGAGGATACACCTTAAATGTTTAATCCCAACAGACTTTTCCACTTATCTTTCAAGTGAAAAAAATCACAAATGGATAAAGACTAAATGAATCATAGGCACTTGAAGAGATCTAGAAGTCCTTGTTTCTGAACATATGAAAAGCTATGATCAAATGCAATTCTGAATTAACTTTCTTAGAAACAGTAAACAAAACTTCAATCACTGATCCCATATTTTGTAGCTATTATCTACAGCACTAAATTATATACATGTATGTATGTATGTATGTATGTATGTATGTATCAGTTACATTTTATATTTTTTACTAAATTCAGAATTACATTTCTTAATTACATTTTTTTGTGAACAGCAATTTACAAAAATTAAATATACTAATATAGTGATTCCTAATATCTTTGTAGTTTTTATCCAATTTATATGTTCATATACCACAGCTTAGTATCAGAATAAATATCCTTATATTGGACTAATTATTTTTTCTAGCTCAGTGTTGACTGTCATACTGCCTGACATACTCTAGAATTTTTATTGAGAAATCCAAATGCCCCCAGGAGAGGTTAGAGATTTGATCTGGATCTTCACATGAACAATATGTCATAGTATGTCATTAATATATGGGGTTTTTTTATTTAAAATCCATATGTGAAAGCTCTACTTTGTCAATATCTACCCTGAAATCTAAGACCCATATGTCAAAGTGCCAATCTTACAAAAATACATACATAAATAACTATTATTTATTTACAAATATTTATACCCAACTATTCAATTTTAAGAATTCTTAGTACAGCTTAATATTTGACATTGTGGTCAGGGGAAAAGGTTAGTTTGCATTGAACATCAAATTTATTCCAAGATGTACTCCATGAATATCTTTATAA